GAGGTCAATGGTCTAACGACTACGGCATGCACGACTTTGAGTACCCCCCTCCCACACACCCCTACCCCACGGTGTTTGCCATCGGGATTGGGTTTTCGTCGCTTGGCAACGACGTGGTAAAACAAGCCAAATCACTTCGTGAACTCGGCAACCAGGTGACCGTTGTGTTTTTGTTACTCTGTTTTTTTTTGGCGGTAACCATAATGGTGGTCGAGTAGATCATGTTGTGCGGGGTGGAGAACCCTCGCTCCGCGCAAGGGGGATGATCGCACCACGTTGTGTCAAATTGGTCAAGCGCCCTCGAGGCAATTGTACAGCGCTTACAACTGTCTCTGGAAGTGAAAGCACCAGGAAATAATTTAAGTCATATGCAGCTGTCATCCGTACGCAAGGAAGTAAGCACTAGATGCCGAAAGCCCTTAGCAGGATGCAGCGCACCCTTCATGCGACTCGCCGAATATCTCACGGCGCTTCGCGCTTGGTGATGTGAGAGCCTGGTCCGGTGAGAACCCGGCGTGCTCCGTCCCGGCTTTGTAGGGATGCGAGGTCATTGGTCTAACGACTACGGCATGCACGACTATGAGTACAATCCCCCCCCCCGGTCTCTCTCTCTTTGTCTCTGTCTCTGTCTCTGTCTCTGTCTCTGTCTCTGTCTTTGTCTCAACCTCTTTCACTCACCCCGATGCTCGTCTTCATCTTCTCCGTCGGGTCTAAGAGAGGCTGCGAGAAGAACGTCCAACGCGGAATGACGCGGAAATCTTCCATCCCGTGATCGCTAGAGTGGAAACTACTAGCGTCCCCTAACGAGCCCCCCCGGCTGCCTTTTCTCTGCCGGCCGCTCGCTCTACCACCGCCGACACCGCCGCCGGTGCCGCCGCCGTTCGACACTTTTCTCCCAGCAGCCCTAAAAAAATAAAAGGTTCAGCATTGCAATACAGGGGTAGGGGGTCAATGTTGGGGATAATCGTTGCGGAAATCCACTCAAACCTCCTGATGCGCCAGAGGCGGGTGACATTACCTGAAAGGAAACGGTTAAACAAATCGAAAAGGCCCTTTGCCTGCTATAGACACGAACCTGAATGATATCTATCTACGAGACATGGATGATGTCCATCCATGAGACATGGACGATGTCCATCTATCACACATGGGCGATGTCCATCTATCAGACATGGACGATGTCCATCCATCAGACATGGATGGTGTCCATCTATCAGACATATTGGTGTCCATCTATCAGACACTGACGATGTTCATCTATCACACATGGGCGATGTCCATCTATCAGACATGGATGGTGTCCATCTATCAGACATGGATGGTGTCCATCCATCAGACACTTGTTGTTGTTGTTGTTGTTGTTGACTTCACATTAAACCGTATGCCAGTTGCTAAATGCCAAAATCTAGCAAAGACTCTCAGCCCGTGGTCACGAAAGTGCTAGAGCCATCTGAGGATCTAAAGAACACGCACACGTAGCAAGAAAAAGGT